ATCCAGGCGGGAGCTAAATCTCCCCTCCGGAGGGACCTGGACTTCTTGCTTGGGGTCTGGAAGAGGCGACGGGACCCGCTGAAGGTGGGGAAGGCGGGCGGTGGGTGAACGGGGTGGGTCGGAGGAAAATCGGCATCGCTGGTGGTGTTTTGGTTTTGGCTGCAAGGCTGCGCCCACGCGAGACCGCTCCGGGGGGAAAAAAAGTGGAGCCGAGGGTTTTCCACGAGCTCCCCATCGCTCCGGACCGCGGCCGGGGAGCCGGCCGGGCTTTGGGGAGGCCCCGCACGAGATGTACCAGAGTTTAGCCATGGCAGCCAACCCCGGCCCTCCGGCGTACGAGGGCGCAGGTGGCTTCATGCACAGCGCGGCCGCAGCGTCCCCGGTCTATGTGCCCACCACGAGGGTCACGTCCATGCTCCCCAGCCTGCCCTACCTGCAGAGCAGCGGCTCTTCCCAGCAAGGCAGCCCCGTCTCCAGCCACTCCATCTGGACTCAGCCCGGAGCCGAAAGCGCCGCTTACAACCCCGGATCTTCTCACCCTCCCGTGTCACCTCGGTTCTCCTTCTCCACCAGCACCCCCATCCCGGCCACCTCCTCCCGGGAAGCGGCGGCGGCTTACAGCAGCTCCTTGAACCTTTCTGCCAACGGGAGGGAGCAGTACGGCAGGGGCTTCGGCAGCTCCTACTCCAGCCCCTACCCGGCTTACATGAGCCCCGAAATGGCCACCACCTGGACTTCCTCGCCCTTCGACAGCCCCATGCTGCACAACCTGCAGAGCCGAGGGACGCCCGCGGCTGCCCGCCACGCCAACATCGGTGAGCACAGGGCTGGGACACGGGAGGGAAATTTCACCCCGAAACCCCCGAGATTTTGGGGCACGCATCCTTCTGTCGTAGGCAAAAAGGGAAGCAGGGAGGCATTTGGAGTATTGGGGTTGTCGCTGTCGGGGTGGCCTCGCTGGCTGGAAAACACTGGGTTTCTTATTACTTATTCTGCAAAATCAGCTTTCCAAAATATCGTCAAAGGCCACRGTTTCCAAAAAGTAAATGAAATTTAGGGTAGGCCTGGAGCGGAAAGGAATTTTCCTCTGGAGTGAGGGCCTGCTGGCTYCTCAAGTAGCTCCGAGGGGATTTAGGGGCTGTGATGGGGATGATTGTGGGGTACAGCACCAAGATGTTTAATGGACATGCAGGCAGCCCCTTCCTGAGGTGTCTTTAGGTGTAAAACTGGGAGTACTAAGAAATCAAAGTTTGGGCCGTGAATCCCAGTTCTTCCCTTTGGGCTGTTTTACTTTCCGGTCTTTTAAAAATATTTTTTTTGAAGGTCAGACAGCTTATGAAAAGGGAGAGCAAAGAGAAATTTAGAGCTGAGGTGGGAGAGATGATGGAGAAGGAATAAAATAAATGAATCCACATTTATTATGGTGTTTTGGGGAACTCAGGCGCATCTGAACAACACAACCCTGGTATTTCAGTGTCTCCTTATCCCAAAAACCTCAACCCTGATCTCTTGTGCTGAGTCCACTCTCAGAGCCTTTCATTTCATTAAATTCTTCTGGTTCCTACAACCAAAAAATTGGTCCTAATGGCTTGAAATACCATTTTTATATTTAGTGGGGTGGAAGAGGGATAAAAAGGGGAGAGAAATGTGGGTACATCTTCRCATCACAGTTTCATAAACCCCTTTTTCCTTCTGCCTCCTCTTCGTGAAGGTATTTCRGTCAGCTTCGAGGTCGGGGTTAACAAAGAAAACACCTCAAATTTGTCTGCAGATCTATTTTATGATTGTGTTCACTAATCTGAATTTTGGAGGGTGATTTTTTCCATCGTGTCCAGCAGGATTTGCGTTGTCTTTAGCATTTATTTTAAGATGTTAAAAGAAGGAAAGTTGGCYGTCGGTGAAGGCTTGGCCTTTCCAACGTCTTGCACTTTTCTTTGGGTGCTGTGAAATTTCCTAAAATAAGAAATAGATTAAGGATCAAATTTTAGCCAATCAGGTAATGGGGTTTTTTTTGGGAAGCCATGAGAAGGTGGAAAGTAGCGGAAAAAATAAGCAATCAAATATCAATTGAATATCAATAAGCACAGACGATTTTTTGTGTTTTACCACGGTGCCATCTCTTTCGGGGAAAAAAAAATCACCTTTTTGCGATGGTTTCAAAAGTGCTCCTAATAATATAAACAAACTGAACCCAAAATAATGCAAATGAAGAATTGCAGTTGCAAAAACACCCATCAGCTTTTAAAGTGCAAGAACCTGAGCGTGGGGATTTGGGGGTTTGGAGCCCGATGGTTTGTGCTGCAGCCTCGCATTTTGATGGCAAACAACGGGTTTTTAAACAGCACCGGGAAGAAGGGGAGAGTTGAGCAAGTCCAGAAATGGTTTTTAATGAAGGAGGAAGGAGCCGGGACTCCTCTCYGCAGCCAGGTCCTGACTCGGGTGCCGGATCCTCGGCAGCGCGGCAGAATCCGCGGGATTCATTAGCACGGGGCTAATTACGGCTCTGCCTTGGATATGGAAAAGCATTTGGATTTTAAACTAAAAGTGCTTGGGTTTTGGTTAAAAAAAAAAAAAAAAAAGAAAGAAAAGAAAAGAAAAATTAACTACCTGAGAATTGGCGAGCTGTAAAATGGGGATTAAAATGGATTTTTGGAAGGCAGCTCCTCCGGGAAGTAGTTTAAGGTCCAGACCTGCCCCATTCCCTTTTCTCCCGGACTCGGGACGCGGCCGCTGCCGGGCGATGCTTTAGGCATCGAGGGCGGTTGTGTGAAGCAAGTAAAGGCTGCCTGAGGAATTCTGAGCTGGGAAAAGGGTTTTATTTTAATGATTTTAAGGGTAAAAAAACCCTGAAAAACCGAAGGCACTGGAAGATGTAGCGGGGGGGACATCGTTCTGGATTGCTCCCATGATGGAGCCACTTTAATTCCAATCCGAGCCTGGCCAGCACCTGAGAAATCCCTGGCATGGCGGAGTTGGCTCCCTCTTTGCCTTTTCTTGGGACTAAAATTAGTTTTATTCTCTGCACAGCGAGGGATCTCAAGGTGGAAGCGCAATCCTTTAAAATTGGGCACTATTTGCAGCGCTCTAATTTTATTTTTCCAGATAAATACCTTCGGRTAGTGCTAAATGCAGAGCACCCCTGGGGTCATTAAAATTTTATTTATTATATATATATTTTTTTTTAAGATTAAGGTTAACTCTGGACAGATATAGCTGGATATGCAGACACAGATTAGCAGTCCATGCAATTGGACATTTTTCCCGTTATATATAAATATATCCGTGTAACAATAAATAAATATACAGGGAAAAGAAGTTCAGTGAAAATGTACTCGAAGAAAATARCACTAAAAGAAATACAAATCTTCTTTTTTTTCTCTAAATTGAGGAATTTTGGCTTGGGTTAAACCGTGGTATAAGGCACTGGGAARAATGGGAGGGTAGAACACACGGGCCCATTAGAAAAATCCCCCCTGGTGCGAGACAAAAATGCCAAATTTGGGCTTTTCAGGGTAAGTTTGGTGACTGATTTCATTACYCTGAAGAGCAGGATCAGACCCTGTGATCGAGGCAGTGAACTTGCCCCAGGCATTGCTTGGGATGGAGTTACTGTGAATTCCCGACTTAATGAGGCATGAAAAGGACCAGCTGCAGAATCCCYTCTCAAAGACTTCCCCGTCAGCTCCAAAAATCTCTTGAAATCGCTCCCAAATTTAGCCAGGACGGGCAGTTTGGCTCTTCCCCCTTCCCCAGGCAGAGGGGAGCAGGGATGGAGGGCGGCGCGGGGATCGGAGCGCATCCAGCCCGCAGCCACTCGCTGCCTCCTGGATCTTTCCACGCTGGGGATGGCGGCTCAAATCCCACATTGCCATCCCCATTCCCTTTYATTTTGCTCACAGCGGGGATTTCACTTTTGCTGTGCCATCGCGGAGGTTGCTGTAGTTGGGAATAAATCAGGGCGACGGCTGTGGGCATTCCTGGTGGGTGCTTTTTAATTTGGGTTTTTTGGGTTGGTTTTTTTTTGCTACATCGAAGTCAGTGTTCCTGAAACAGGCGCTGCTGGAGCACAGCAACAGCATCTGGGAAGATCAAAGCCCGGAGCAGACGCTGGGTTGGAAAATGTCTTTTCTGCTGCTGGTGGGGGAGAGATCGCGAAGCAGATCTTMAGCTTTCCCACAGGGATGCTAAGAGATCTGCCCCGTCGCATGCCGGGGCTGACATTTCCAGTGATTCATTGGCATTTGTTACAACCCTCTGCCCTACAAGCAGCCCCTGACCTTCCCCGCGCACCAAAGGACGAGGCGGCTGCTCCCTGTGGGGTGGCAGGCAATGAGTGGGGCTCAGAATCTCTCCCGTCCCTGATCCCGGAGAGATGTGACTTTAGGATGGAGGGATGGGGCTGTAGGATGGAGGGACGGGGCTGCAGGATGGGGGGACGGGGCTGTAGG